AATTTAAATATTTACATTTATACAGCTACTCCTGACGACTTACGCCTACTTGACTACGACCACCGACATACGACTTCTAGTCATACCAAAATTTTATCAAATTACGTATTTTCGAGTCCTGACATTAGTGAGTGCGGCTATGCTGACAAAATTTTCAATTGTATTTCACTTTAAAATGGCTATGAAAATGAGAGTTTTGTGGTGCTAGAAGAAAAAGACACCCATTTTAGATTTTCTATGTATTATTTAAGCATTTTCACTTACTTACGACCAATGACTTACAACCTGGATTTGGGTCCTAACCTCGTCTAAATTGAGGAGCAGCTGTATACATTTTGATCATTAAAATAAAAATAAATCTAATCTATGCCGTTTGAAGGAGGATTTATTAACCGAGGATAGTGATCGGTGGCTTTTCCTCGCGGCGTTGTTAGTAAACAAACGTGTTATTGAGGAAATGGAATTCACAGCCCCACGAAAGAAAAAGGAAGCCCAACTGGGCAGCAGACTTTATTATTGGTGGATGCTAATGAAGAGAAAAGTTAATATTGAATGGCTGCTTGAAGGCTTTCCTGAATAATAAAGACGAGGGGGTTATTTTTCAATATCAACCTCACCTTTTAAGTATTTTCTTACCATTTAGTAGATATCATCGAGTAATGAAAGAATATACTTAAGTAAACGGCGATTCAACAAACGCGTGATACTTTGGATTTATTAATTGTAAAAATTTTTTCAAGTCCCAATTTATGTTATGGTAACACGCAGCATCACTCTGTTGGTTGCTTCACCACCCATTATCCAGATGAAAATATTTTTCACTAGTTTTCTTGCTGTTTAGATGATTCTGACATTTATCTTGGGGCAAATAACTTTTTGAGGTTAAGTTAGGTCAGAAGTTAGGCGTAGCCTGCTAGGTCAGGTAACCTAACCTAACCAAAAAAGTGGTTTGCCCCAAAGATAAATGTCAGAATCATCTAAACCAGCAAGAAAAACTAGTGATAATTTTTCATGCAGAAAAGGTGATGGGTGGTGAATAAAAATAACCAAAGAGGGCTTGGCTGGAAATTACCATAATAAATAATAATAATAATAATAATTAACGGTTTATTGAAAGAGCTTGGCAGCCAGAAGGCTGAAAATATACAGTTACATATTTGGGGAAAATACTAAAAATATACAAGTAACATAAGTGACACAAATAAGACATATAATAACTAGATGGGGAGCTCAAACTACAGTTCATTTCAACATAGTGACAGTGCAAGGAGTAGTGTTTACTGGGAATGAATACACTGGTTTATTACAAGTTATTGATAATTTTTACAATGGTTGGGACTGGGCTGTTCTTATAACGATCAGTTCGTTGCACGTATGGGCTGGATGCGTTGTGGTGTCGAACAGCATTCTCGGACTAGGGATCTCAGGTGGTAGTAGAGCCGTGTCGATGATGGTGTGAAGCTTCTTACCAAATTTGCAGATGAGGTCGTGGTGATGGTCATGAGAGTCGACAGTGTGTTGGCTTCTTGATATGTGGAGTAGGAAGGGGAGAGTAATCGCATGCCCTCACTTTTCTAGGTGTTTACGTTGTGTGGCATTTAGGAGGAAGACCAGGTGGGGGAGCATAGGTGAGCTTGGGAAGTATGAATGTTGTGTAAACACTGAGGGCTCGGGCAGGAACCCGAGGGACTTGAGTCGGGAGGAGGTGGAGACGGAAACTGGAGGATTTGACAACTTCACTGGTTTGTGGTTTCCTGGTGTGGTGAGGTCAGTGGCAGAGTGTGAGACACGTTGGTTCTCAGTATTGTCCAAGTCAAGACAGAAGATCTTTGCTATAAAGAGGTAATACCAATATACTCACAATATACTCACTATATTCATTAAATATATCTCCTATCCCGATAAATGCTGTCGCCGCTGATGATGTTGTTGCTTCGCCTTGGTATCAATTAACAGACCACTATTACGGACTTAGATGTGCTCCCGGTGTCTAACTTAACAGTGAACTATTAAGGCCCTTAAAAGTTTGGTGTATGTACTATTAGTGCTTAACGAAAATGTCAACCTTAACTGTTTGCTAGCACTTAAAGGTTTTGTGTATACCGGCCTTGATAATTGTAGCAATATCTCTTTCCGCATGAATAATGTTCTGACAATATTGAAACTTTGTAAGGTGGTATCTGATTAAAATATCTTTAATTTTATTGGTTTATTTTTTTTTTTTTTTTCCATATTTTCCTCCCAAGTTTTACCGAATGTTTTCTAAGGCAAATAAATTTAATTAAAAATACGCATTTGGATATTTTTTTTACCTTTTATTTCACCAATCTCATTTTATATTAATGAAATGCAGAGTTGCATATTTTTCTGAGATGTTCCGTAGTTCATTATGCATTAAACTTACTCAACACAGATAAAATAAACATCACTCAAGATTTTGATAACATTTGGTATATATGTGAGCATTCATTATTGAAATTAATTCAAATTAAGAGTTTAAAATCTACATACATTAGTATATAATGCTGCACACGTCTATTTCTTAGTAATACAGTACTGTACAGTAAAGCCCCATAACGGATAAATATGTCTCCAATATTGCAGTGTAAGGTGAATCATCGGTAATGAATCCTTAATTACCATTAAAATAAAGCAATAATAATTAGATGCGTTCTGTCTGACCTTTCATATATGTTGTGTGGTGTTTTACCCTCTTTTCCCCAAAAAATAAAATTAATGAAAAAATAAAACTATATTCTTTAAATAATGGTTGTTAATAGACATTATACTAAATAAATGAATAATAATATGTAGTAATAAGAGGAGGTGGACGCCATTGTTGTCGCCAGTGTTTACACCCGGACGATGGTTTTCCATCTGATACTGAAGAAAATAAGATTTGTTGTAGCTGTAGTAAAAATATTGTTAAAAAATGTTTCTTTTAATTAATGTTATTTAATGAATGTACAGTAGAAGTAGCCACTGATGGTAAAGAGAAGTGAGATGGCAGAAGGCTAACGTTCACGTGCACAATCATGTAAACAGGCCATTTCTGTTATGTACAAAAGATTCATAATTGTTTATTACTGAATGTCTAGTTGATTTAATTAATATTTATTTGTGCAAAATGAACCACACAATTCATTAATAATACTTAGAATATTAAAACACGGAGGAGATGAGACGGTGTTGTTTTCAGTTATGTTTACACATGTGACTGACTGGTTCTACATATAAAACTGAAGAAAATAAGACCCTGGTTTTGCTAAAAAATGTAAAAATTAATATGGTTGTTTTAAGTAACATTATTTAATGTTAATAAATGGAACAATAGAAGTAGCTAACCACTAAATAAAAGAAAAGTGATACTAGTAACGCCAACGTATGTGGCAAGCATAAGTGAAAACATATCGTAATTTCTCTACATATATAATACAGTTATTACTGTTTACATATGTTTTAATTAATGCTTCTGAATTAAAAAAATCTACTCACCAGTGTTGGAGATGAAAACACAAGGACAGCCAATGTTGTTGTGTGAGTTTTACTGATGAAGAAGTTGCCAAGTCATCAGGTTCAACTCTGGCTGAAGCTGTAGCTCCATAACGTTAAAAACTTGACTGGGCAAGTAGCTGCCTTCCTCGATTATTTTGTGTAGTTCTTCTGGATAAGCATTAGCAGCAGATGAGTCACCACTTGCTGCCTCACCAGTGACTTATAAATTATGTAATCGGTGGCATTGTTAGAACCTTTCAAACCAGTCTCAACTAGCACTGAACTTTTCTGTTTTAGACCACTTTAAATTTAGATCATTAAACATTGCTAGGGCTTTTGTTTGAATAATTATAGTGCTCAATGAGTATGCTTGATTTTTCGCCAATCCATATACTTAAAAGTCTCCATTCTCCATAACCTCACTCGCTTTGGCAAACTTTAATTGCACTTGTAGACAGAGCACTCTCTTTAATTTTTCTCCATTTCTACGGATAGTTTTCACTGTTGATTCCGCAATCCCAAAGCACGCAAAATATCCACAACCCTCAACCTTTTCATACCGCTTTAACACATTTAGTTTCTCGCTAAGCTTATACACTTACTATTACCTTGAACCAACACTACCATCACTTACTCTCTTGCTCATGTTGAATAGGAACTCAAAAATGTCGTAGAAACCTGGGAATGTTTTTCCTGTTCCTGTTCAGATGAAACAAGGCCCGCCAAGCTCCGACTGTTATTTACTGGCGATATGCATTATCACCATTAGCCCAGCTCTTGCTGCTATTTTTTTACTGAATTTTTATAATACATATCGATTTAGTTATTATTTATAGTATTTTATTTTTTTATATTTTCAGTAATACGTATTAAAATAATGACAAATTTAATGGATCCTAAATTAACCAGGGTCTTAAATATGAATAGTCGTCAAACCGTCATCGAGGCTTTACTGTATTTGCATATCTTTTAAATATAATGTGTATGTAACAAAAAACGCGTATAAAGTTTCTTCATGTCTTAGGTTCTCGAACATTTAAAGATTATAGTATGCTCTCTTTGGGTTAAGCAGTCTGCAACCTTTTATATATAGTACTATAACAGGTGTTTTAACAAGACCCCACAAATTTCAGTTTAGACTAGTGTACCTAAGTCAGTTGATACATCACCCTGGCAATAGATATTTATATAATCTTGGTACAGTTGACTAAAAACACATCATCCTGTATACCCCTCTTCTGTACCATAAGTATAATGTAGTTGGAATCAGCAGCAACGAAACTTCACAGATGATTGCTGCCTCCCATTACACCTAACTTCCACTGATGGAAAGTGCCTTTATTCCTGACAGTGAGAAAAGATTTGATATAGCTATGCACTGAAAATTTCTCCTTTCCTCCCTAGGTACCAGCACAGTCGGGTTTGATGCAACAACAAACAGATCCTTTGAAAGTATCCGCAGCCGCCCTAAGAAACTATGAAAGCAGTTGATGGGGTTTACGGAGATGACGGAGATTCAAGCCAAGGCAATTCAAACTTTTGAAGGACGATTACGGGAACAGCTAAGACTGGGCCGGACACTGGTGTCATTCCTGCTGGAGTTAATATATAAATTGAAGTTTAAACCCAGAAATGGTAAGCAGTGCTAATTCTGTGTTAGGAATGCCCATTTATTACTACTAGTTAGTGTATTTGCATGCCTGTGTTTCTGGAAAATCTGTGTAAAACTATCAATATGCTGTATCAGAATTTTCCATTTTCTCTTACTGGAAAGGCTCGATAGTTCAATAATACCGCAGTTTAATGAAGGTTGACTGAAGATAAAACACCTTCAATTTATAATGAGGTACAGTACTTGAGCACTTTTATTACTTCAAACTTACTACACACACACACACACACACACACACACACACACACACACACACACACACACACACACACACACACACACACACACACACACACACACACTCCAAGGCACTTGACAGGCTACAGGCATGGACTACGGAGAACAAGGTCACCATCAACCACACCAAAACCATAGTCATGCACCACCACCACTCCAGTGCAAGCCCCAGCAGTCACAGTGGGTGCCCATCCTCCAGCTGGTGCAGTCTGCCAAACTCCTGGGTGTAACTATAGACAACAAACTTGACTGGAAGGCCCATGTAAATAACACAGTCAAGGCAGCCTCAGACCGCTCTACATGCTACTAAGACTTAGGGTCACTTGGGACACCCATGCCAGTGCTGAGGACCATCTACAACGCCTTTTATTCTCCCCAAACTAACGAGGCCACCAGCCTGGGTCGTCTTCTCAACTCCACCCAACAACGTCAGCTGAGAAGGTACAGAAAAGGGCCTGCAGAATCATGCTCGCAGAATACCCGCCACCAGCACGCCTTCTACCCTGGAAATGCCATCCTCAGTGACTTCCACCACCAAGCACTGGAAAGGTTTGCAGGGGACTATTGCACCACCCTCGCATCACACCTCCTGCCACCGCAGCCCCCACCCACCTCAGCGACAGTCCGGCCACTACAACAAAATACAACCCAGAAGAGCCCGCACCAATAGATATAAGAACAGCACCATCCCATCTATTGTTAAAATAATAAACAACCTGATTTATGTACTGTACAGCCCTATAAATGTATTCACTGCATATTATATCATTATGTCTAAATCAAATGTAAGTCTGTATATTCAGCCACCGGCTGCAACTCTATTAATAAACCGTTAATATTATTATTATATATATATATTTATTTATATTATTATTATTATTATTATTACTACTACTTTTTATACTATTATTATTATTATTACACACACACACACACACACACACACACACACACACACACACACACACTACATCCTTGACCACCGGAGGGTCAAGACGCACCTGGCCTCTCGAGCAGCCAGGTCAACTGTTAAGCGGCCCATACCAACCCTCCCTGAGCCACTTCTCCCCACCGAATATCAACAAGTTCTCGCCAGAAGTTACAATTTAGGAAAGGAATGGAACCAGTGTTAAACAGAGTGAACATTGGTGAACAGTGCTTAAGTCAGTGAGAACAACTCAACAGTAACAGTCGCATCTCAAGTTCTTCACACAGTGAGGTCCCAGGTACCCAGTGATAACGGCTCCGTGAGACCCAACAACCATGTTAATCCGTCTACGATAGGAAGGCCTGGCGCCACACCTCACTCATATAACACCATCTGTGAGGAATTACTACACCACGTCAAGTCCTCATAACACCATCTGTGGGATTACGACACCACGCGGATGCCCCTCATAACACCATCTGTGAGGAGTTACTACACCACGTCAAGTCCCCATAACACCATCTGTGAGGGAATTACTACACCACGTGAGGTCCCTCATAACACCATCTGTGAGGAATTACTACACCACGTGATGCCCTCTATAACACCATCTGTAGAATTACTACACCACGCCGGGCCCCTCATAACACCATCTGTGAGGGAATTACTACACACCACGCCAGGTCCCCTCATAACACCATCTGTGAGGGAATACACCACGTGATGCCCTCATAACACCATCTGTGAGGGAGTTACTACACCACGTGAGGCCCCTCGTAACACCATCTATGGGAATTACTACACCACGTGAGGCCCCTCATAACACCATCTGTGAGGGAATTACTACACGTGAGGCCCTCATAACACCATCTGTGAGGGAATTACTACACCACATCAGGTCCCTCATAACACCATCTGAGGGAACTACTACACCACATAGGTCCTCCTAACACCATCTGAGAGAGTTACTACACTACGTGTTTGCTGTTCAACACCTACATTAATCTGAATGTTCACTGTATGTCCTACCTATCTCTAATGAAGGCTTTTGTTATACCACCAATGTATGTAATAAGTCATTTATGTCCAATGTATATTTTCAGCCTTCGGCTGCAGAACTTTTCAATAAACCGTTAATTATTATTATTATTATTATTACATATATATATATTTTAAGATCTTTTAAAACCTTTTATTTATTTTCTGATTTTGTAGATGTTCTGAAAATAAGAGTAATGATGGACTTTATCCTTTAGGTACTGGTGTCATCATAGTGTCCCCAACACGTGAGCTGTCTATGCAGACCTTTGGTATTAGTGGTGAAGTTATGCAGGAGCACACCCAGACCGCTTGTCATGGAGAGGTCCGACCGCAAGAGTGAAGGAGTCAAACTGTCTAAAGGTTAAAACTTATCACATTACTGAGATTTGGTATTATTCATGGTAATGTCTCCAAAAATTTATACTGTATACACTACCTTACAGATTTTCATGGAGATTTAGTGAGTGCTTATCTTAGAAAAGCAACACTGTCCTTACATTTGGGGGGCTTCACATTAACAAGTGAAGACAACGTTGTTTTTATAATACAAGCATTCACACAACCTCCAAGAAAACTATAATGAAGTGTATACATTTTTCTGAGACATCCTACCAATGTAAAACAAGAAGCTCTGGGTTAAGTGAATTTGGGTTTCAGGTATATGAACATGTCTTTGAAATTTCAATTACTTTGAAAACATCTTATAGTTATCAGATATTTCACAAGCTTTGGAAGAATAACTGCTGGGAATGGTGAATATAAGACCTATAGTCACATAGCTATTTAATGTTGGGAGAAAAGCCAAGTATTTTCTATTATATACAAGTCACGGTGGTAGATGGCTGTTACATTTTACGAATTTCTATCTATTTGGAACACTTTACATAACAAGCATTAACCTTTTTTAATATTACTTGTATTTTAGGGTTAATAATATATATTTTCCATTTAAACATTTTTTAAAAATTTCTGTGTTAATTGTTACTTATGTTTTTTTACGGTATTATTTGATTTGAGTCTTTTAAGCCTTTATTATTATCCGGCGATATATGACTGTTCGTCACCAGGATGTAATTACCTCAATCGGTAAATCAATCAATCAATCTTTTCTGTGTAGTATCATTAATTTTGTTTTTGCTTTGTTTTTCAGGAGTAAATATACTGGTAGCTACACAGGAAGACTTCTAGATCACCTGCAAAACACACCACATTTTTTGTTTAAGAACTTAGTGTGTCTAATTATTGATGAGGCAGATCGATCTTTGGCGTGGGATTTGAAGAGGAAATGAAGCAGATTTTGCGGATACTTCCGGAGTGAGTTACTCCACCAACTGGCACATCCATACAGTATTATTAGAGTTTTAGTTTCCCAAGTTTAAAATGTATATTGTAAGAGTAATAGTGTATAGTATTTGATATATATCTATTGGCCAGTTTTAGTTGGAAGGTCAATATATTTCATCATTGTTGTTCCTGGACTTTCTGGTGTCAGAAATATAACTTAAGCTTCTGTACACCATTGAGCAAAAATATTACATAGGGATCACAGTCTTTGGAGAGGAACTCTATTGAATTTTGAGACAGGGTTGAAGGCCAAGGTTATTATGTACACTCGGTAAAAGTCTACCGTACAGGTGGGGTCGATGATTTTCCATCTGAACATTCCGTTGTCTTCTGGAGGGTTAGTAGGCCTGAATGTGGGACATTTCGGTACTTAATTTGGTAGGCCGAAATTAGCCATTTCATTGACAGTATTGAATTACTTTGTTACAATATGACTGGAGAATGTCAGTACAGTATATCTAGATAAGTTAAACAGTATGTTATATTACATATTCCATGCACCGTGGACTACAGTAACCATTGTAGTGGATGAGTTGCCATATAGGAATGCATTATATGTTTGACAGAATTAGTGGATATCATAAGGTAGTGCTACTTCACTTTGGGCTAATGTCACATTATGTCATTCTTTATTTATAATGAAAAAATATACCATGCTGTTCTGAAACGTCTGAATAGCTCCACAGTTCATATATACACATTCTTTATGTAAGATATCAGGAAATGTTGGTAGCACTAATTACCTAAATCACAATACTGTATTAGGCTGCTACAACCTCCGCTCACATTGTGTATTCAACATGGAGAAACAAGGCATAGTTTCAGGCGCCGATCACTTGTTTCGGCAAGTGTGGCTGAACTCATACATGCGCAGGCTACCAATGCGAGAATGCCTCGGGGCTTTTCTAACACTTCGTTTTTAGTGACAGTTTGTTTTGCAGGAATTGTAACAGGGAGTTTTTCTTTTCCGGTGTGCAGTGTATTTGAGTGTAGGTTTTTCTTTTATTTCCAGCTTATCTTTTTCTGTGATCATTATAAGTACTCTGCTTTTGATAATGAGATATAGTCTTATATTTAGATGTGAAAAAATTACAATTATAAGGTCCAGTGTCATTATTCTTAAGGATATTCCGTAAATTTGGAATGTTTTGAAAGGTAATTAGGGTGATACATTTGATTAAATGTGTTTGAAATGTATTAGTAAAGCTTTAGATGTCAGGGTTCACAGGACCTCATCTGGTTATGCTGTACTAAATTTTAATCCTTTCTCAGAACGGCGACAGACAATGCTTTTCAGTGCAACTAAAGACAACAAGACCAATGAACTGGTTAAACTTGCCCTCAAGAGTGAACCCATGGAGGTGGATGTTGATGCTGACAAAATAAATGCAACTGTTGAGGATTGGAACAAGGTGCGGTATAGTCAAATTAAATTTAATTATAAAGGCACAAAATAATAAAATCTGTTTTACGGTTTGAATTACAAATATCATTATGTAATTTTACATCTGCTTCACATTAAAAGTTATGTCAAAATGTAATGTGTTATCAGGTTTTTCACCCCTTGATTCTTATTTAGGAAATGATAAAGAACCTTATCACAAATGAGGACTGGAAAGTTAAAATTGACGGCGCCTAAAGCAGGGGTGTACCATGTTAGGATTCAGGAAATTATTTTTAAGCCCAGCTCTCACAGGCTTCAAGTAAGCAATGGGTGTAAGATGTATACCAATCGACGGAGAATTGAAAATGGGAAAACCTTTATCTCAAATTTGCATATTTGGCACTGATGCTCCTGCTTTAAGTGATGCCTCAATTGTATATATAGTCATTTACGGAATTTTCTTTTTAAGGTTGTCACAGATATTTATCAATTTAGAAATTGAGGTAGAAGGAGGGATACAACATGATGAGATGATGTGAAGAAAATGACATCAGGATATGTTAAGAATTGGGTAGCATTTGCCAGTGTTGTTGTGACGGTGAGGTACAGTGTTGAAGTAAAGTAATTGTTTAAGATGTCATTCACGAAAAAGTAAAGTATATAAGTCCTTTGAAGAGCATGAATGAAAAGGACACTTAGCTTGTGTCTTTGAGTGTCCTGATTACCAAGGTTCAGCTGTACTGTACAGTAAATTTGTGTTTACAACTGGGGAGAGTGATAAATGGTTTCTTCCTTTATGGTATAACCTAACTAACCTGTACAACTCAGGCGATTGTTTGTGCATTGGTATTTGGTCCAACATTTGATGATATGGAAGGCAGGCAGTGGCTGAAGCCATTGAAGGAGTTTATGTGTCATTCTGCTTTAATTAAGACAGGAAGATGTTGAATATACTAATTGACCATCCAGCGGTAATGTATTTCTCCTCCATTAGCGTATGTGGTGTGCCCAGCAGACAAAAGGTTTCTGGTTCTGTATACATTTATCAAGAAGAATCGGAAGAAGAAGAAAGTGATGGTGTTCTTAAGTTCATGTATGGCTGTTAAGTTTTATAATGAGCTCTGAACTACATTGACCTTCCAGTTATGTGCATACATGTAAGTTTCTTCTTTACTAGTTCAGGCCTTTTCTTGTTTAATGCAGGGTACAAGTTAGAATTATTATTATTTATTAGCCCTTAAATGGTGGATAAGTTCCTCATATGTCACCATGAGTGGAAAAACTATAACACATGAAATTTCCATTGTGGCCACTGACCCTACATCTAATGCCAATTGAAGTTGGCCACCTTAGGTCGTCCCCGAATCATGTTTGTTTTTACCTTTCCTTTTTTTATACTCTAAAGTTTAATGATGACTGTTTGCCAATCATTATGTAAAGTAAAAAGACATTATTAAATGCCTGTATATTATAGTTTTACAAATTTTCATGGTTAAAATGAGATATGTCCTTATGCGGTGTTTAAGCAAAAAATTAATCCCTTTTTTTATAAGGAAAGCAAAAGCAGGTGAAGCCATACCAGCACTTTTACCAGTTCTGTAATGCTGAATCAGGTATCCTGCTGTGTACAGGCGTGTTCCTAGGTTGGGATATTCCTGCTGTGGACTGGATTGTGCAGTATGATCCTCCTGATGATCCTAAGTTGGTGCTTTACATGTGCTAAGCCAGAAAATTGTCAAAATTTTTTATGAGGATTAGCTTTTACGTACTGTAAGGGTAAGTAAGCTAAATAATTCAGGGCATCCCATTTAACTGTGTCGATACTGATATTTTAGGTTGTCTGTCTTTCTGGAGGACAAGTCAAAGTCACGTTTCTATGTAAATTATTTAAGTAAAATGCTTTTTAAGTAGGAAATGTTGCCATAATGTGAGTGCATTTTATTGCCTCCTTTGATTGTTGCATCTGTGACCTTTGTTTTTTGTAACTGAGATTTACAACCGAACCACAGTATCATACTGAGCATCTTGTAAATTTGTTTGATTAGTGCAGTGAAATTTATGCCTTGATAAATTAAACTACCTTTGTTATCAGCAACTGTTTGAAAGGGAAAGTTACAGCCTTTGGAAGTTTTACGTGTGAAGGACTTGTGTTACAGTAAAATTCATGTTTTATAATGTCAGTACATAAGAAATATTGATTGCATTACCTCGAGAAGTACATACTGTACCTTTTATTTTTATTTTTATATTTATTTTTTATTTATTTATTATTTTTTTTCTAGGAGTACATTCATCGGTGGTGAAGAACTGCCCGTGCTGGTGGCAGTGGCAATGCACTCTTGTTTCCTTCGTGAGAGAGATTGGGTTTGTGCATTATCTGAAAGCTCAGAAAATTAATGTTGATTCCATGGACATTACTTGGAGTAAAGTGGCCAACATCCAGTCTCAGGTATGTCACTAAGGTTTTATTTGAAGGATTATTTAGTTCCTTTAAAAGTAATCTGGTTTAGTTATCAGCAGGTGAACCCTGTTTATTTTTATCTGATGATTAACCTCTTTTAATATATTATTTGGTAAACAGCAGAAGATATTATTCAGCTCGGAGGCAACATCGTAAACAAAAGTTAAATACATTAACACTTAGACCCTCGCATCGTAAGACCTGCTAACCCCCATGCGGACATATTTAGCACTTAAAAAATTCATGTCATTTATAAATGGGTTAATCAAACATGAGAACCTGGATATAGAACTAATGGGGCAGACCCCAGTCCAAAAATGCAAAAGTAAAAAAAAGTGATTCATTAGGGAGGATAACACTGCCCTCTGGGTTGTTTAAGAAAATCATGTTGTAATACCTAACATAACCTAACCTAATCTAATGCATATCAAGGATAGAACAATAAAAAAATATGAAATGGAACTCTCTGGGTTGAAAAATCAGACTTAAGTTTGGTTGCCAACAACTGTTTTCATGAAAATGATTGTTAAGTACAGTAAGATTTTATATTTTGCATTTTAAATTTCGCGAGCACTACCTAATGTAACCAGGTCTTATATTTGGCGTAATATATCATGAATTTCGTGAGATCCAGCCAGCTGAACCCGAGAATCCAAAATAGCAAGATGAATGCTGGCCACCGTCTTTAATGACGTCACACCCCTCTTACCAGTTAGTCATTTCTGCTTCAATGTTTTTGTCATAATTGGTTTGTTAGCGATTGATGAATAGGGAATGCTGTTTGTAAGCGAACTTTTGCATACAAATGTTGGCTATAACCGATTCCATCATCAATGTTTTGATTCCACCCTCAATGTTTTAAGCATCTTGCGGGGTTATGCAATATTTACAGTTAGCGTTTGACATCACATGTTCAAGTGATTCGTGTCTTTTGTTTGTGAAGTGTTTTTGAGGTACTCTGTAATTTTTATTTATATTTTTGCAAATTTAGCTGTTATCCATAAATACCTATGAGAAAGAATAAGTAAAAAGAATGTTTAGCAGTGAGGACTAATAACGGTTGAATCGGCGTGGTTTTGTCGATGCTTTGTGATTTTCGCTGTTTTCTCCAATTTTGTTGTGTTAGCGATGAATATGGAAAAGACAAGGTAAGAAGAATGTTTCCATGGCGTTCTGGTGATCGAATTGTTGGTGGTGAGCGTAAGGTTTACAAGAATGCAACTATCGCGTTTTAGCCAGCGCCACCCTAGCGACCTCCGGGCTGCTATTGTGTGCATTTTGGGTGGTGCTACCACCTGTCGAGTCAAGGTAAGCCTCTACCTCTGCTGCGGGTCCTACTGGTGTTGGTGGGGTGGTACAGACCCACCTAAGCGATTAAATAAGGAAAGGAGAAGCGGGTCTATCATAAGGGAGTTAAGTTTGCCAAGTACTCGTGCAGGATAAGCAGCGTGTGATAAGTTCCTTGAGGAAGGCCTAAAAACTAGTTTCCAGAAAGCACAGTCAGGTTAATAAAGGCAGAATTTATATCATTTGGAGGTTATAAATGGGGAAATCAGAGGTTGATGTAGAGTGGCCAGTCTATATTGTTATTTTTCCATTAGTTTAAGTATTTGCATTTGGCGAATTTGAATTGGCACAATTTTCCAGTCTATATTACTCATAAAATACAAGATCTTACTGTACTGTAAATTGTTATATGTGAGTAACCACAGAATTTGTATTATGAATAAATAGAAACTGTATACAGTAAAACCTGTGTAAGGTGAATCATTGTATCATGAATCATTAATTACCATTAAAATAAAGCAATAATAATGAGATGCGTTCCCAAGTGTGACCTTTTATAACTTTTGTGGCTTTTACCCTCTTTTCCCCAAAATAATACAATTAATGAAAAATGCAAACTATATTCTTTAAATATTGTTTCTAATGCACATTATACAACATAAATCAATAATAATATGGTCACACAAGAGGAGATGTGATGCCATTGTTGTCAGTGTTTTACACCCATAACCATACTGTCAGTTATCCATCTGAAACTGAAGAAAATAAGACCCTGGTTGTTGCTGTAGTTAAACAAAATATTTATGTTTTAATTAATGTTATTTGATGTACAGCAAAGTAACCACTGATATTCAAAGAAAAAAGTGATAGTGGAGCATGTGAATACTAGCCCTCAAGGAAACGCGTCATTTATCTTAAGAATATGTACAAAAGATTCATTATTGTTATTACTGAATATGAATTTGATTGAATTAATGTTGATATATGCGAAATGAACAATGCAATTCACTAATAATACGTAGTATATTAAAACACATAAAGAGGAGAGAGCGGCATTGTTTTACGTTATGTTTATAACATCCGTTACAAATGTGATGGTTCTACATAAGAAACTGAAGAAAGTAAGACCTGGTTGTAGCTGTAGTGAACTTAATGGAAGAAAAGTATGTTTTAATAATGTTATTTAATGTACAGTAAAGGTACCGGGTAACCACTGATGTTAATGTAATGGGGGGATTTAGAGGTAGAAAGTATAGATAGAATATTTAGTTGTAGGTGTAAAGAGAGTAAGTTTGGTAGCGTGGCGGTTAGTTATTTACCTGCACAGTATATATATACGTGCTTAGGGGAAATCTTCTCAAACGCCAACTCTAATGGTACAGCTATTTATTTTCACTCAATGACACAGACACATTAATAGAACATTATATGAAGTTACTAGAACATTATATTTACGTTTCTAGACACTGATTCTCGGACATAAACATGAAATGGATACACTTCCACCGTAAGTAACTCACCCTATGGATAGCTCTGACAAAGACTCACGTGTGACCTGAGGGAGGCCCAGCGGGTGCTGCTGGACTGTCTCCTATGGGGAGACTGCTAGCTGGAGATGCGGTGCTGGGAGGAAGTCTCCTCCCGACCTCAACTTTTGTGGCGTGACTCCGTCTTCCTTCCGATAGTGTTGTAAAGTTGTCTGAATATGAATTGGTGAATGGGCAGTGGAAGGTGCTGCAGGGCCTTTATATTGGAGGAGACGGCAGATGACCTCTCTAATTAACACTAAACTGGTTAGATCTGGACAGTTGTGTTTGCCCAGGTCGGTAATGCTTCCTAATTATAACCGCCCGGGTGTGTCTTGGCTGGATGTGGTTTCCTTAACATAGTCATATCACTCGGTTAACTCAAGTACTTAGTGGCTGTCAACTCTCCTGGGACTGTAGGGTGTGCCAACTTATGTGGGTTACCACATGGGCATCTACTTACTGTTATATGCGTCGTTCTTCTCTGGGCTGTAAGCTTTGGTCTGATAAACAATCATTACATTAAAGAAAGAAAAGAGTGATAGTGGAACGGCCCTCAACGAAACTATGATTTATCTTATTAAGAATATGTACAATGAAAGACAAAAGTCGTGTCGTGAAATTTGGTGAAAACATTATGCCAAGGGTTAAACTTTTGGTGCGCTCTGCCTTGTGGTAGGGGGCTCTCATAATGTTTCACGAGTTAGGAGTATATTTAATCTTCGGACAAAACCGCGTACGACTTGTCTTTGATTGTACGAAGATTCAATATTGTTTATTACTGAATATGTATTTGATTGAATTAATAAATGCGAAATGAACAATGCAATTCATTAATATCGTAAGTATTAAAAACACAGAGCAACGAGGCGGCATTGTTTTCGTTCATGTTTACAACACTGTAAGCGCTTCTGCATCACCTTACAAGGATGTAGGGAGTGCCCAATAAAAAAAACTCATGAGTCCGTGACGATGGTTCTACATAAGAAACTGAAGAAAATAAGATCCTGGTTGTAGCTCTAGTAAAATTAATAAAAAATGAATATGTATGTTTTAAGTAATATTATTTAATGTTAATAAATGGAACAATAAAGTAGCTAACCATTAATGGTAAAGAATAAACGAAATAGATTTGGAAATCGGTATGTAAGTGCGTACATGTGAAAACATCTTCATTTCTCTACATAAGAATATGAAAGATATTACTGTTCATATATGTTTTAAGTAATACTTAGTAATGTAAAACAAAAATTCTATTCAGTAATGGTGGTAATCTAAGACAGTAATGAATATTGAGAGTTTTTACTCATGGCGTCATCAGGTTCAACTCTGGCTGAAACTAAAGCTTTCCATAAAGATATATCTGTTGTTGAAACTATTACTGAATCTGAAGTTTTGCTGAAGCTGCCAATGATGCTGAATTTGATGGTGTAGCTGAAGTTGATGGTTTAGGCCTCAAATAATAAAGCTGTTGAAAGAACCCTTCACGCCGCTTTCTTTTCTTATTATACATCTTTATGTAAAGGTCATTTGTGTTTTTCACATCCCTGTTAATTTTAAGGCCGTTCTGTTAATGGATCCATAGAAAATATGTTCATTGCTTGCTCCATATAATATCCACAGACCTCTCACCGTTTCATATCGTTTTAACACATAGTTTCTTGCTAGCTTATACACTTTTCTTTTAGCGTGAAAACAAAAGGCCCTCTAAGCTGCGACTGTTTATGCTGGCATCACCACTCACAAGTCCGGCAGCCTCTGTGTGCAGGGCGTTTATTTATTTATTTTATTTTTGTATAATGCATATCGGATTTAGTTGTGAAGAAGAAAACTAGAGTCGAGCCTTTTCTAGGCTTTATTGTTCATATAACTGACCAAGGGTAGTATGGCATCTGGAGAACAAAGGAATATTCTAGTAAGTGAAGGGAACAATGAAAATTACTAATATAGGTAATATAACTCCAAACAAAACAAAAACCCAATGATAAGAAACATAACAAATGTACATACACATAACAAACTAGCATGGGTTCAAGTGTACAAGTGTAGCATAAATTTATTACAGTTATAATTTATATGAAAATTTAATT